CAAGGACGCTATCAGGGGCTCCTGGCCTTACTACTAGGAACAAGGACTCTATCAGGGGCTCCTGGCCTTACTACTAGGAACAAGGACGCTATCAGGGGCTCCTGGCCATACTACTAGGAACAAGGACGCTAGCCCCTGGCCTTACTACTAGGAACAAGGACGCTATCAGGGGCTCCTGGCCATACTACTAGGAACAAGGACGCTATCAGGGGCTCCTGGCCTTACTACTAGGAACAAGGACGCTACTAGGGCTCCTGGCCCTACTACTAGGAACAAGGACGCTATCAGAGGCTCCTTTAATAAGGCCTTTTTGCTCACCTTTTGCTGTTTTTCGATTCAGCGGGTGTGGCCGACAGCCCGATCTGCAAGGACCACTTTCAAAAGACGACTGGGGCACGTTCAGTACCACGAGTCTTCATTGATGGAAACTGCATAGGCAGGCAACTACTGTTTTCAGTTTGAGAAGAGAGTAAAAAGGAGTAATAGCAATGGCCTCCAAACTCATTCAATTAAATACAAAGAAAAACAATCATATTTTGAGTTACCAATGGGAATGGATTCCAACCTACTAGCGGTGGCTTTCAACCTAGAGAGAAAAGAGACCGAAGAGTTTCTTGGAGAAAGGAATGACTAGTAGCGATGCACTTGTTACTAGTAGCTTCTTGCTACTGATAGCGATGGCCTCCAACCTAATAGCGTTCTTGCTCCTAATAGCGATGCCAGGAGCCCCTAGTAGCGTCCTTGTTACTACTAGTAAGGCACTTGTTACTAGAAGCGTGGCACTTGTTTCTACTAGCTTCTTGTTCCTAGTGATAGCGTCCTTGTTCCGAGGGGGCGGGACAGATGTTGCGGCCCTGGCTGGAAGGCGCGGCTTTCTGACCGCTTCTGCCCAAAGGCACATATTACAGAGAGAATTAGTAGTAGTAGTAGTAGTAGTAGTAGTAGTAGTAGTGGCCTGCAACATTGGCCTCCAACCTACTAGCGCGTGTTGTCTTTTCAATAGTTCAAAACGTGGGCTGCCAGGGGAGAACTGAAGGACATGCTGCTGAAGGCCGGGTCCCCTCGGGTCGCCAGGTCCCCACATGTCTTCAACACGGCCATGGCCATGTCTTTGTCCCTACTAGCGTCCTTGTTACCACCAGTAAGGCACTTGTTACTAGAAGCGATGCACTTGTTCCTAGTAGTTTCTTATTACTAGTAATGCCAGGAGCTACTAGTAGCTTCCTTGCTCCTAATAGCGATGCCCTTTGTTCCTAGTAGCATCCTTGCTCCTAGTAGCGGCCATGTCTTACGGTTCGGTTCAGCACCACAAGGCCAAAGCGATTGAATGATGAGAAAGAGTGACGAAGCTGGTGACGGTCTGCACTCCTCGAGTTCAAGTTGGTCGAACTTTCCGTCTCGGCTTCGAAAAAAGAAACCGTTGCAAAGCTACTAGGAGCAAGGACGCTACTAGTAACAAGTGCCACGCTAGTAGTAACAAGTGCCTTACTAGTAGTAACAAGAAGCTATTAGGAGCAAGGACGCTACTAGGGGCTCCTGGCATCGCTAGTAGTAACAAGAAGCTTGTGTTTTTTCTTGTCTAGTTGCAGCTCTGCACCGAATCCCTCGAAGACTGCGCGCAGTGCGGAATCGGTTCAGCCGCTGTTGTACATTGACCCAATGTGTGTCCGATGAATGTGACCGATGCGACCACGCCCAAGTAGCGTCCTTGCTCCTAGTAGCTTCTTGTTACTACTAGTAAGGCACTTGTTCCTAGTAGCGTCCTTGCTCCTAGTAGCGATGCCAGGAGCCCCTAGTAGCGAACAATGTGTGTCAGTTGTTTTCCTCCGTGTCAGAATGCTGTCAAGTTGACAATGTCAAGCTTTGTGGTGCTTTGCGTGTGCTACAGCCGAGTAGTGGACCGTGCAATTAACAACGCTTCTGCATCTCTACCTCAGCAGCTACATTGTGACCACACCAGCTAGAAGCTACTAGTAACAAGTAACAAGCGCATTCATTGTGACCACACCACTGTGATCTCCAGTTTCAGCTTTCTGCCATGACTAGCTGACTAGCCACGCTCCATTCTGTCGGGCAGGATATTCAGGAAGTTAAGTTTCCAAAATCTAGGAACCTCTAGGAACCAAATGAATAGTGCGAGCGCTTCTTCAAGGAAGCTCCTCCCCGCCGCCTTTAGGGCGGCATGGAGAGCTTCCTTGAAGAAGTGTGAGCTATCCTGCGTCAAGTAGCTAGTAGCGTGTTGACTTAGAAAACACGTTCTTTTGTCTTTCACATCACGTCGGAGCAGAGCTCAGCCACCGTGAACCACCGTGAGCCTGCAAGCCATGGGCGCGGCCTGCTCGACCGAAGGGCGCGATGAGGCAGAGGCGCCAGTCAGACAGGTCCTGCTACTAGCTCCTGGCATCGCTACTAGGAACAAGAAGCTACTAATAGCGATGGCCTCCAACCTAATCAAAAGAAACAATCAGAAGGAAATTTGAAATCACTTGTGGGACCTGGCACACAGTTTCTGGCAGTCCATGCTCTTCGACCGAGGCTGCGCAAGCTGCGGCGGGCAAGGGCAGAGAGGGCAGAGAGGGCAGAGGACGCGGAAGCCGCAGCTGCTTCAAGTTGTGCTGAAAGCGGAAAACGTGAACCCACTCTCCCCGGGCCCTACTTAATTAAGCTACTAGCCTAAGTTAGCTTCTAGGTAGGATGCAGGATAACTCATGCTTCTTCAAGGAAGCTCCCTAAAGGGGGGAGCTTCTTTTTTTGTTCTCATGCCGTCGGACAGGGTCGTCGGCGACCAGTGAGCGTTCCGCGTCACAGGTCGAAGTTCCTTCTAAGTACATCAGACTCACACGAGTGAATCAAAAGGGATGGACCATGAAAATGGCGTCGCTTTGGCGCCTTTGTCGAAAGCACGAACAAGAAGCTCAAGTGTAGCATTATCAAGGAAGGCTTCGGCGCCGTGAAAGGCGCCTTTTGGATAGGTTCGGCCGTTACATTTATTGCCTTTGTCAAGGAGGAGTGGTGCCACGACGATCTGTTTGCTCTTACAGTAAGTGAAAGCAGCTCTGATGATGGCAGCGTATGATTGCAAAGTGCAAACGGTGCCCTTAGGAAGCACAAAGCGCCACCCTTGTGTGAACGCGAAGGCGGCGAGCTCAAAAACAGAGCATGCAAGGCCTTCACTGACCCGCCATCGGAGTGTGTTCGTAAACTCCAGGGAAACTTTGAAGTTAGACCGGGAGAGCTTGGGCTTATCACAGAACGACAGCTCTGGGTCATTGTGAACACACCATGTATACTGTTGCACCTGAGCATCCCATGGCCATCTTTTGTCGTGGTGTTAACGAAGGCTCAGGAAGGCATGCAACAGCGGTGGCAATAGCACTGCATTGATCCGGTTTTCTGCAAGCTTTATTGATTTTTGTGAGCCAAAGCTGCCTGGCAAACACGTCATTCTCTTTCAAGGCCAGGTCATGTTTGTAAAGTCGAGCAGTTTCATCCAGTTGCTGCTTTGCCAGCAAGTCGGCTCTTCGATTGAGAATAATGTCCTGTTTGTTCGACCCAGCGGCATGTGCCATAGCATCTGTGAGCTCTGATACTGGTGTATCTTCCAGAAGGTGTGCGGGACACCAGACTACCTGGAGCACATGCTCACAGTGATGTTGGCGTTGGGCAACTAATGCACACAGGAAGCCCCACCAGTTGGTGTGAGTCCACTCAACTTGAACATGGCCAATACGTTGCATCTCCTGGAACTGGTTGACAATGGTGAGCGAATCAGTGTGAACCACCAATGCTTGCTCAGCAATGGCAAAGGCAACTAACAGACCCAAAGTTCAGCTGTATAACTTGAAAGGCGCCAATGGTAAACCCGACCTGCTGCAAGTAACGATTCATCAGCTGCCACAACTGCAAATGAGGCCATGGTATGCCAGGGATGACTGGAAAGTTGAACCGAACCATCAGTCCAGACATGCTGAGCTGCTGGGATTGGAGAGGTCCAGTCCGCCACTGCAAGGTCTGATGTGTTTGAGACCTGTAGCCGATTGCGTACTCCATCCAGAGGAAGCTCAACAATACCAAACGTACTGAAGTTTGGCCCCAGGAAGAATTGGGTGGAAGGCTGTATCAAGTCCTCTGGAAGCTGATCACATGTGTGCACAAAATGTGGCAGTGATTCCTTATCACGCCCACAAAACCGGCACTTGTGGTCATCAGTCAGGCCAGAAGCGGCAAGCCGATCCGCAGTTGTAGTACATCCGGCGATGGCACTTTCCCAGTGAAAGAGAATCGAAAAACCTGGGTTGAAAATTTTTGAAATCTTCCGCTTTGCTGACAAAGTCACAGAAAGGTCAAGAAACCCAATGGCTTTGCTGATATCTTTCCTCGGCATTAAACAGGCAGTCTGATAGCACTTGTTGGCTGCAAGGCTCGTGAGAATGCACTTGAGGTCCGCCAGGGAGAACTCAAGAAAATCAACTGCCGGTACATCCAGGATGGAAAAGGCAAAGGGGGCTGCCCAATGAATATCCAATATCTGGCATGCCTGGGCAAATTGGGTCATCCATGATTGTGCGGTCAACTGATCTTGTTCATAAAGCGCAGACCAGCGCTGGCGTGCATATGCAGATGCACGCAGGAATCTCGCGGACTCAATTATGGTCGTCACAGCCCGGTACAAGAAGGGGTCCAACTTGTGCGCCTTATGGACGATACACAACAGCAGGTGTTTGGATCTCCACATCGGTCTGTCCTGCCATATGGCATCTGCAATCGCACTCTGCAACCTGGCCAGGATCCTCTTGGGAATGAAGTTCAGTTGTGGCGCGAATGCAATCTGAGGCAAGACTTTGGTGGTGAGAATCTGGGCACGTTTACTGCTGTCACAGGGTAGGGCCCTGATAGCCTCACAATCACGAAGTGCTGATTGAATCTTGGCACTTGGGAAATTGCCAACATTCTTCTTTGTCGTCTGGATAAAAGCTCCAAGGATGTTGACCACCTCAACTACCTTCATCTGCGGAAATGCAGCTTTCAGTTGATGCCGAAGAACACCGGAAGTTGCAAAGGCTTCACATTTGCTGGCATTGAGAAACTGGCCACATAACGAGTCCCACAATTCCGTAGCCCGGACTGCAGCAACCAGGTTGGCTGTGGAGGGCAGCCGGGACCAGATATATGTGTCATCAATAAATGCTCTGAAGTCAATGCCATCAATGTGGGATAAAATCCATGCCCATATTGCCATGTGGATGTTGATGCATAGAAGGCTTAATGAGCAGCCTTGCACTACACCGTTTGGAGTGGAAATTGCCGTTGCTCTTGCCCATTGTTTGAACGAGAGAAATCTTGTCATACGCGTGTAGAGGGCCAAGAACCCACAGACAAAGGCCTGAGGCAGGCCTAGGGCCAGCATGATTGCAGCACAAAGCTTGGGCATCAACCGATCAAAGCACTTGGCCTTGTCCAGTTTCAAGGCGGCAAAATGTCCATGAAGGCTGTGCGCCCTGTCAATCTCCATCTGCGTTGTCATATGTACCTCAGCCATATGACGCCCCTTTATGCCCCCTTTCAATTGAGGTGGTAGAACGTCCTGCTGCCATTGCTGTAGCTGTAGGAAACGCAGGCCAGTATACAGCAAGGTAAATGCAGACTGCAAAGAGATAAGGCGCTTGGATAATGGAGCATCGCTACCGTCCTTGTTATGAATGACCATCCGGACTTTGGTCAAAATGCTGGGAAAGCCAATCAGGCCAGCTTCAATATCATTAAAAAGTTGAGCCACTGGTCTGAACGCGGCAGGTGGGAGAGCTTGGACCTCCACGGTCTGCCATCCATCGAGGCCAGCTGCTGCTTGCGGTCGTCGACGTGAGGCTTGATGCCACAGTTGCATCTCGGTGATTGGTGGGAGGTTGATGACCTTCCTTTTGTCATGGATGTATGGCCACACCTGCTTGAGAATCTGCATCTCATGGTCATGGGCAGCATTGACGGAGAACACTGTATCCCACTTGTCGGCAATGTGATCCATAGCCGCCTGAGGATCATATATAATGTTGCCCATCTCGTCTTCAACAAGATTAGGCGGAGCCACCCGACCTTTGCGCTTGAGATATTGGTAGACAATCTTCCCAATGGCCATCGACGAAGTAGCATGTTTCATGGATGCCTTCCATTTGGCAATGGCTGCAAATTTCAGCTGTCTCACCTCATCCTGAATGGCCTGAAGAGTCAATGTAATGATGTGCGGGATGTCATGGACAAAAAGGCAACGAACAGAGAAGGGCACCAACTTTGCCACCCGGAGCCGCCGAAGTAGTCTGGATTGTGTATTGCGAAAGGTTCTCATGTCACCCGGGGATGTTGTATCCCTCCGAAAGCGGAATTCCAGTTCACGCAGTGATCGAAGGGATGCTTGCAACAGCCTAAGTCTGGGGGAGGCCAAACTACCAGAGGCTTCCTGTTGAGCACACGCCCGTACCTTGTGGAATTTGGGCAATTTCCCTCTGATGTGAGGACCCTTCTCCCATGAGGCACCATTTAGCAGAAGCAGCTGTGTGGCATACTTGTTGAAAGTTTCCCACTTGGTATCCGCATCCGTCCCACAGGAAAACTCTTCTCTGTAACCACTCCATAGTTGATCCGCCAAGTGATTGACAGGACACCCAGGATCATTCGGGTCAGCATATTGCACATGCTCCAAGTTAAGCATTGCCGGTCTCTGAAGCATAGTGCCCTCCTGCAAGATACGGTCCCAGGCAAAGGTCGCCTGAACGGGTCTATGTTGTCTATCTTGATGGTCAAGTACTCGAATGTTGAGAAGTGCAGTAAGAGCAGTGCGATTCAAAAGTATGCCATCGATAGAGGATTGACCCTCTCCTTCTATGTCAGCTGAATGCTGGAAGAAAGTGCAGGGTCGCTCAATGTCCCCATGCTCGTTGACCTGTAGGAGAGGATCCGCCCAGCCCCAATGATCCAGTGCAAGCTGTACAGCGGGGTACATCCCTGGTTCCATTTGAAAGTCGCCAGCGATAAGGATGGGGACATCACCAAACTGAGCTGCAACAGCAAAAAGCTGGTCCAGCAACTCATTGTTGCGGTTGAACTTTGCACGCTCTGAGGCCGCATTGGCAATACCATAAAAGTTGAAGGCCAGGAGCTTGACGCCTTGGGAAACTTGGTGCCATGTGGCTGTGACCCGGGCAGTAGACCTGAGTAGAGACCATTGGCCTGATACATCCATCTTGTCATCAAAAAGCTGTGTGAGCTCTTTGTTAGCACAGGTTGCAGTCCCACCAGATGGAATGCGAAGGGTCCCATTGCTGGCTCGCTGTTTGATGAGTGGCTGCGAGCAGAACAGCCGCATATTACAGAGAGAAGCCTTTCTCTGTGATTCTGCCATGTTGGATTCCGCAATACGGGCCTCCTGGAGCATGAAGACATCTGCATCCCATTGTAGGCAGTTGAAATTTGTCTGGAAGGAGTCCACATTTGCTGAGATGACGGACCATTTTGGACCTTCTCCAGGGAACCCAAGCGTCTGGTCAAAGTCAAAACACTCCCACCCATCGCTCAACTTAGTCATCCGACGGT